ATAGCAGCCTTACGTAGGTTACGTGTAGCAGCCTTACGTAAGTTACGTGTGGCAGCCTTACGTAAGGTATGTGTGGCAGCCTCACGTAGGTTACGTGTGGCAGCCTTACGTAAGTTACGTGTGGCAGCCTTACGTAAGTTACGTATGGCAGAATTAATAGCGGTGACTGAATTAAGCTTAGCTGTAGGACATATTTAATTCGGGCCGACCCTTTCCGAAATCTAGAATTATCTGCCGACATTTCTCTTGGCATTGCTCAGAAATCCTGTCAGATCGGTATAAATAATCTCACGTGATTGAATGACTAATCACCACCACAACCCTTGGAATTTATCTTGGGTCACCGTTGGTGACAATAAAAAGAATCAGCTCCTTTAAGTCTTAAGGAGCAGACAGAATTCAAATACTTTATCAACCGAGTGTTTTGCAATTGCAAGTACTTTAACGAACGTTACGACCTTACGAATATATATTCTTAATCGCTTAAAAGCAATCTAATACTAATCAATAGTTGATTTACTATTAAGTGATCAATCATAAAAAAGCTAAGACTTTATAGCGAAGATACTTTTTACTACGATACTTTTCTTTTATAACGAAAAAGCGATTCCGTATTAAGTCGCTTCTTATTGTAGAAGCACCCAAAAGGATGTGCCGTATAAAAGCCTGGCTCTGAGGCTAGACCTTATGGTCTTACAAAAGAAGTATTAAAAAAGATAAGTAGAAAGCTCGTTGATTGTTTTAGCTAAAAGATGTATGCCCTTTTATAAAAGATAGGTCCGTTTAATATGGCTTTAATAGCTATAGCAAGTACTTTATTAAGCAAAGTATTTATATCCGTCCTTTTATAGAATAAATAAGCGCTTTCGCTTACCGTTAAGCAAAAAGAAAAAAAAAAAAAGTATAAAAGAAAGAAAAAATTTAATATATAAAAAAGAGAAAGTATCTTATCTTTAAATTCTAAACATTTAAACTACGCTTTAGCAGCTTCTTTATAATCTTTTTCCGTGCTTATATCTTTAACTATTTCGTCTTTTTTAAATTAAAAAGGTCTTTTTCTTTTAGTAAAGCTAGTATTAAATAATAACGTGCTAGTAATAGCATCTTTAAGAATAAAAGAACGCGTATCGTTTTTGCGTTTATTGCCGATAGCATCGTTAATAAATGTGAACTTAGCCGACGGAGAGTTAATAAAGCTAAAATAAAGTTTAAAGCTATAAGTTAAGTCGTTTTCGTTTTCGAGCAAGTTATTTAAAGCTTTTATAGCTTTATCGAATACGCGGTTTAAAGATTCCGGTTAAAAAGATAATGCTTTAAGATTGCCGATTTAACTCGTAAACCGTAGTTTACGAATAGATTTCGTACTTTTTCAATTGATCTTTACACTTAAATCGGAATCGTTAAAAGACAACTTAATCGATCGTATGCTTTTTTTAAAATCTTTTAACTTATTAGCGTTTATAAAGTTATTAGCTCGGCGGCTTTTGCTTTTAAAAAAAGACTTAGTTTTATAAGTCTTAGCTTTAGCATTTAAGATAATAGCAAATCCTTTTTTAAATGCTAAAAACAACTTCTTTTTATACTTAATAAAATGTTTTTAAAATTAGGTTCGAAACATAATAAAAATAGCGGTTAATTCTTTTATTATTCGAAGTTCGTTTTAATTTATTTTTTCGATTAAAGCTTTCGATACGTAATTAACGTAATCTAATTAAATTATAATAACGAAAAGTTAGCTTAATTTATTAATAACTTTTTATCGAAAAGTTAGCGGCATACGTCTTAAGACGATCGTGCAAGCGTACTTTGCAAAGCTAACTTTATTTTTTAAAGTGCTATCGTTTAGCAAAGCGTTGTAATTATTAAAAAAGATTGCTTATTTATAAAGCGAATTTTAAAAACCGTTTATATTTAAGAAAACTCTTTGTTTCGTAATAATCGATATAAAAGTAACAAAATTATTAATTATAGCGAAAAGCTAGCGTAGCGCAATATTCTTAAAAGCATTTAAAGTTTTCAATTTAAGTTTAAAAGCTTTTTATTTAACGGTCTTTTTAAAAATAATATCGTAAGTATAGCTTTTAAGCTAAACAATTAAGCTTTCGATTTAATTGTTTACGTCGTAAAGCATTAAGTAATAGTTTAAAACTTTATCTTTTACTCGTAAACTATAGTTTACGAGTCGTTTAATATTAGCGTCGTGCTTAATCGTAATTACTCGAGCATTATTATTATATTTAAAAAGCTAAAAAGGTTCCGAATAAGCGATAAGCTTGTAATTCTCGTCTTAACGATTAAATAAAGCGGTAAGGTATAGCTTATAATAGCTTCGAAAGACTTATTAAATTAAAGAGTACATTATATTAAAAAGTGCACCGGTCGAAGCTCTTTTTAAATTATTAATTCGAAAATAATACAAATATATTTAAATTTTTTAATTTATAATAATAAAAAAGGTTTAGTTACTGTGCTTATCGTTTAAAAAAAACGCTTTTAACATAAGCTAAACTTTCGTATAGCTATTCGCATTTATAATATTAAAAAAGCTGTTTTTTTACGCGGTGCTTATTAAGCTAATACTTTAGTTTAGCTTATTAAAAGACATCGGCTTAGCTTTAAACTTAAAAGAGCTTAAGCTAAACATTTTCTTAATAAAAGTATTGCTTTTAATCTTAATAGCGAATATCGATTAATTGCTCGAATAAAGTATAAAGTTATTAAAAGCGTTAGTTCGGTAAGCTTCGATAAATCCATATAAATTAAAACGGATTATTATTATTATAAAGCTTTTCGTAACTAGCTTAAAGTATTTAGCGTATTCGAAGATATAGATTTCGCAAAAGACTTTATTTAATAATTCGATAGCGAACGGTAAGACTTTACGGCTAAAGCAAAACTTCGTTTAAACGTTTAAGTTAAAAAGTTTTTTAAACTTATTTTTAAATTTTAATACGTTTTTTACTTTTTAAAAAATCTTTATGCAATCGTAATCGTCGTCGTTAAAGCTTAAATTAAAGATCTCGGATAGCAAGAAATAGTTTATTATTTTGCTTTTTTTTTTATTTACTTTTACTTAACTACGACGGTCGAAGAGTCGTAAGATCG